GATGCACCTGGCAGTGTCGGCAACACCAGTGGACGCAGCAGTGGTGGTGTGGTTGTTGCGCCTTTCGGGCGTGGCAAGCCTGTGGGCGGCGCAGCTGCAGCTATTTCGCAGCTGGGCAACAGCAACAATAACACATTGGCTGGACCAATTGGCACCTTCAACGTGGCCGATGTGGCCGCCGTTAATGCTGCCGCAGCGGCCGCTGCAGCCAGCAACAGTAACAGCAGCAACAGCAGCAACAACAACAATAATAATGCTAGCAACAACAATGGAAAGCCTCATGCAGTGACGCCCATTGCGCCACCCAACAAGCGAATTTCCTCGCCCGTACCGCAGAATCTGCAGCAGCAACAACAGCAACAGCAACAGCAGCAGCAAAACCAACAGCAACAACAACAATTACCACAACAGCAGCAGCAGCAGCAGTCGTCTCAACTGCATCAGCTCCAGCAACAACAAGTGCATCAGCAGCAGCCAACTCAAGCGAACACCAACCAACAGAATTTGGTCATCAATACGAACGTGTTGAACGATATGATGGCTGCCGATAGCTTCAGTGCTCAACTGGCTGCGAAACTGTCCAGTGCTTATTCCCTGTTCAGCGATTACCAGCAATCGCAGTGGGGTAAACTGGCTGTGGATGGAAATGCGGGCGGTGCTGCAGCCGGCACAGGCAATGCTACTGGCTGCGGCTTGAATGCCATGGTGGGCGATGTGTTGCCACAGGCTGACGCCTCCAAGGCGCCGGGCTACAATCGCAACATACTCAGCTCTCCTGTGGGCAGCTCAAAAGCCTCCTCGAATCATTCAACCTCGCCGCCGGTGGGCAATGCAGCGATGCCAATGCAACAGCAGCCTCCGAGCAGCCAACAGAGCGTGCAGCAAGCGCTCAACATAATCACCAGTGGAGCTGGGGTCAGCGCAACAGCAGCCAGATCACCATTGGTGGCCGAGCCTACAGCAGGCGCCAACGGAGTTGCTTCATCGGGAGTGGTAACTGTCAATGGCACCCAGAGTCACGGTGATAACAATAATGCGACAGCCGCTCACTCGCCTGGCGTCATCAAGCCCCCAACAGCACCAATTCAGAGGCCTTCGATTCCTATGCAAATGCAATCTGCACCAGAACCTACAGCCGGCGGGAATTTTGGAACGGTGCCCGCTTTAGCAGCAGCGGCTGCAATAGCCAATGCAGCAATAATTGATCGGCAGGTTCAGGACATGCAGCGTCTGCAGCGTCTTTATGACAAAGTGGGGACGCCTCAGCAACCGCATAACTATCCAATGGAGCCCTCAAGTCTCCACCATATGGTCGATGGCATCATGCGACTGAATCCGCGGGCAACTGTCTTCGGTCAAGGCAACAAGGCGCCGCCACAGCAACAACCTAGTGGCAACAATCAGGCGCCGAACGCACAACAGTCCAATATGTTTGCCAATCAGGGCCGACAGGCGCCTGGCGCACGCCAGCAGCCCGTGGGCGGTGCAGCTGCTGTGGCACAGCAGCGGTGGTATGGCGGCGCCTTAGAGTATCCAGCTTACAGTGGACGCGACATGCTGCATTTGGAGAATGGCGGCGGCCTAGCTGGCTTGAGCTCACCATCTGCCATGTCACCCAACCATGATGACATACGCAAGATGCCGCGCCCCATTGGCACCGAGCGCGCAGCAGCCTCATGGAAGTATAACAACTACAATGTGGCCGCGACGGCGCTTAACATGGATGAGACTCTGGTCAATATGCATGTGCCGTGGGCGAATGAGCACAAGGCGCAGCCACCAGGCTTACAGCAGCAACAGCAACCGCAGCAACCACCCAATTGGCTGAAGCAGCAGTATAGGCCATATAACAATGGTCCTTATCCGCAGCACGAGCCGATGAACGTAAGATATTCTTCACAAAACAATGAAATACCAAAATAATAACTGTTAATTGTTGCCACCATTTAGATGCCTATGGATTATCACAACATGCCGCAGCAGCCGCCACCGCCGCCTCCGCAGCAGCAACAACAGCACGTTAATCTAATACCGCCGTCGTACGTCTTTCAGCACTTCGCCCACGGCGCTGACGATGTGTCCTCGCATTTGCCCAACAAGGTGGAGCCCTGGGAACACCATGATAAACACGTAAGTGTATACAACCTAAGTCAGCCAATTTCATTCTGATTGGGTTTCTGTATATTTATATATATACAGCAGCCCTGGGCAAACTATACCACAAACTGGTCAAATTGATGCGCCAGCGAAAAGGAAGCAGCGGCTAGTGAATGGACATCGGGCTAGCATGCTGCAACGAACTTGGTCAGATCGGGTTGCATCTGATCAAATCTTATCGGATTAGACTATATATAAAACAAGGAAAAGTCGTTGCCAATACACATGAAAGGAATGCACAACAATACAATGCCGGGCATAGTCGTCGTGAAAATGTAAATGCCAATGGATGGCTCGATTGTTTTTCACATTTTCTGGGCGAATGCACTGACGAAAACATACTTCATACTCTCACTAGATACAGTGTACACACACACGTACAGCTACACGCCCCCACCCATAGGTATACACAAAATTACACTTTTAAATTCAGTGAAGCATAGAAACCCCTTGGCCTCGTTAATTACTAGTTTACAATTTAAGTTTTCATTACGTCGAGCAACTATTTAAATTTACAGGTAACTTGGTTTGGCAAAAAAACGTACGATTAGAACAACAAGAACAGGCTCATAATAAACCTCCTGCCCTTACACACACACTCTCTCTCCCATACACACGCAGAACAGGCTCGTACATCTACTGAATACACACACGAATATATATATATATGTATGTATATATAAATATGTATATATAATGATATATATATGTATATATATGTATATATATATATATACACCCGATAAACAGAAATCCTAGAAAAATTATATATTATTTATTTTAAATGTAATTTGAATAATTTGATATTCCTTGAAGTAAACAAATGTATAACTTATATTATTTCCAAGCGCTAAATTGGTCGAAAAAATGTGATGAAGATTAAGCCAACACACATTTAATTTTAAGCTAGTTCTACTCAGTCATATGAAATGAAAATTATAATTAAAATGAAATTTGAGAAATTTGAACACATTTAACGAGCATCTACACAAACACACTCTTACACATACATGTGGATATACATACATACATGCATAGTTAATATTATATAATAAAAACATCTCGTTTTGAACATTTAAACTGTAAATCTAGGCGCGCACTTTCTTTGTTTTAGAAAAAAGTCAACTTCTTGATAAGGCGACAGGTTGAACTTGTTCTTAGGTCCTAGCTAGAGCCGCAGACTGCGTAAAAAAAGAGAAAAACGATACTAAAAGCAATAAGATACGCTTGCAGCAACAATAACAGCAAAATTACTTAAATGCTATAAATTACACATGCATAAGCATTAAACAGATTAAACAGATACTTACAACTACCTACACTAAACTGTTAAAACATTTTGCGAAAATTCTACGAAAAAAAAATGAAGCAAATACATACAAATTACTTACGTATTTAGCTAAGAACAAATTACACACACACATAAAACTTACACACCTTTATACAAAGGGAGAAAAACAAAATTTTAGATTTCTTTTTTTGTTTGTATGACATTTTGTGTTGTAATTTTTGGAGTATTTTTTGGTTCTCGTCAGATTTCATAGGGAACGGATACTAAAAATGTAGCTAGTAGAAATTCAAATTGCTTAATTAACTTAACGTAAAGCAAACGTAAAACAAAAGCATACAATTTAATATTCCATTTAAAGAAAGATTAAAACAAAAACCAACAACTTTTCAAATGCATAAACGACGTAAAAGATAAATGGCTTGCCAAATTTTAAATGCTTATCCGACACACTACGAGTAGAAGGTCTTAGAGATAGAGCACAACAATACATAGCATAGAATGTGTTTCCACAAAAGATACGAAACTATACAAGAACAACAACAACAACAAAACCCACAAAATATGTAAAAATACACTTGATAAACAAACGAAAACAAAAACAAATACTTGATGAATGATGATGAGCAACGTGGGCGCTGATTGGTCAAAAACGCGCCGTGTTGCAGTAATTGCTTTGTAAAATGAATAATATATATCTATAATATATATAAA